ATGACCCCTCACACCCCCACCATGGACTGTTCTCCCTGCTGCCATCTGGGAAGAGGCTTCGCAGCATTCAATGCAGGTCCAGCAGAATCCGAAACAACCTCTTCCCCACTGCCATCAGAAAGCAGAATGTTGAAAAAACTCAAAATCATGTCACAGACCATGCATCAAACTGGCCATATCAATGCGCTTTTTTGCGTCATGTTGTTTCTGCCACAATGTTTGCATTTGATCGCTGCTGCACTTTAAGAAAATGGAAATGTCATGAGAGATGTACAAAATGTATAAATGTTGTCTAATTCCACATATTTTTTTTTTTTTTGCTTTTTTTTTAAATAAGAAAGTATACCCCAAAACAGCATCTGTACGGATTTACAGCCGAGTTTTGGTGTTGTGTTGTGGTGCTTTTGGAGCAACAGACCTCTGCTGAAAGGCCAGTATGACTGCTGGGAGTTAAAATAACTGGGCTGTGAAATAGAAATACACAGTTATGGCACCCTTAAGTCAACCGGTGACAACTAGTTATCTGTTTGTTAAATCTGGAAGTGAATATAAAGTGGTTATTATGTTTGTGGTGAATAACCAAACTGAAGAATGCATGAGATGTACATTTCTTTTCAACTGAAAGTTTTGAAGTGTAGGGTATTAATTAGAAAGTGTTTCAACACAGTTCAGTGGGAACAGCTTCTTAAATATATATTAATGAAGAACAAAATGATCAAACAGAACACTTTTTGTTGTTTTTTAAAAATGTATATACATTTTCCTGAGACTGAAATGTTATGTAAAACTGACCCTGTCACACCTTGACGATTTAGACAGCATATGCCTGGTGTACGAAAAATCTGGCAAAAATGCTGGCATACCTTGGATAAGTTATGGGTACCGGTATGTTTTGTTTAAGTTATGAGCAGGCTGAAGCATGCTGTAAAACGCTGCCAGACGTCGAGATAGGGCAAGAACGTATGTCAGCCCCTACGTATGCCAGCGTATGTTCATACGGGGGCTGTAAGATCGTTGACATTGATTAAGTCTAAGTTACTCATAAGTTGTGGTGTCTAGATTATCTAACAACTATGAGTAACTTGTGCATAACTTAACCCTATAATGCCAAATGTATCGTATTTGATACATACGGTTTCTGAAATGTTTTGCGTCTGACACCTTTTGCTTAAAGGTGTCAAATCCTATTGTACACAAACAGATATACCTGATAACAGCCAGTAGAAGACTACACAAAAAATAATCTTGACTTATCGCATAGTAATAAATTATTGATATCAAAAATGTATTTCTGTTTTTTCTTTTTACATATTTTGTTAAAAGGGCAAATAAGGAATTCAAACCAAAAAAAAGTAATTTTCTGTTTTGTTTTATTCTTGGATCGGGCTTTAAAGGGTTAATCGTAACTCATCAAGAACTCATCTCCAACACATATCAACGTATTTGACATGTTCCAGGCGACCACTGAACATGTTTCTAACTTACAGCTACCGTATAATGGTGTATTGGCACTGTTTTGGTATAAAATGGGGTTCATAGGAGGAAACAGTCAGTTCTCCGCCAGACTCCATCCCGATCATATGTGGAAAATTTCATGGGCATTACGCTGCCGTGCGTCATGCATAAGTTAGGCTGTCGTTGGACATAAGTTCTGGGCTCGTTATGAATACTCTATGTATACACAGAAAATGTAAGAAATACATATAAAGTTTAGCGTATGCCAGCGTTTTACAAAATTTTGGAACGTCAGGCACACTCTGGCTAAATCGTCAAGGTGTGACGGGGCTTTAGTGGAGTGTGAGCTCTTTACATTTTTTTTTTTCATTTTTTAAATTAATTTATGATGACAGCTCTTTAGGACAAGACCTTTCATCCTCTTCGTTTCCTTCCATAATCAATTCCGCCGCCTACTTGTCAGTCACCTAATATAAATATTTGGTTATAATGAATTATTTATATTATTAATTCCCTGTACCTGTGGACTTGGGTTTATTAGGTTAACAAAGTTTTGACTTAAATGTTTTTGTCTGCACTGCAGATATCTAAAGGGAGTTTTGTTATGATTTTAAAATAAAAAATGTTATCATGTCAATATTTAAAGTATAGCTAAAGCTGGTCATCTACTATCAATTATCAGCTAAAAAAAATTATTAGCCGGTATTCAAATATATTAAAAGAGCTGCATGAAGTGAAATTTCTTCAATTAGGTTTAATTAAAATTATATGTCTTCTGACTGAAAATATTTATTTTTGGCTCAAAATTGTTACTTTGGATTATCGTTAAAATCAAAAAGAAAATCCATTAGCATAG